GCGCTATATAAATAAAATTGAATTGAATTGAATTGAACAATTTATCAAATGATGTGTGAGAACAATGTGACCATGTGAAAGGAGTCACTTGTAGTGATGAACCTACAGAGAATAATCAGCAGCTCCCTTAGCTACATGGAGCTTTATAGCGAGTTTCAGCTCATTGTTTAGCTGTCTGGCCAAGACTCTTCTTTTTTGGTTCACTCTCACTGCTCTCATTGCATCTTTTTTGGCTGTAGCAAGTAACTGTTTTCAATGAGAAAGCTAAGATAGAGTCAGATACTTCTCTATAGTGTAATTATATATTTTCTACACATTTTATCTAGATAAGGCTTCTCCAAAGACCTCCTTCTACTTACCCACATTGTTGTGTTTATACAGGTGGAGAAATACATAACTCTTTTTAAATGTATTTTTGCTTTTTTCACTAATATTGAGTCTAAAAGTTACCAGCATTAAGAGAATCTTGGCATTTGTATATGTAATATATCTGATAAACTCCTGTCCATTTCCAGTGAGGATTATTATTTTCCATCCTTTGAATATAAATGTGAAGATGACATAACAACATAAAAGATGAAAGGAGAGAGAAACCTGAATGGTCACTCACCTGTGAGCATATGCTGAGAAGATAGCCAGCGGGAACAAAGTTATAGTCATGCCCATGTCACTGATGGCCAGGTTAACTACAAAGAACTCTGCTGGCTTCAGGGAGGACTTTTTTCTATAGGCCACGAACAGCAGGATCCCATTCCCCAGCATTGACAGCACACCTGTGAAACAAAGTGGCTGGATCTATTAGGGCTGATGGATCTGAACACATATTGACAGAAAAGCTGTAAACCTCAGGGGAAAAAAACACATCACTTACCAAAAATGATGTAGAGAGTTCCCATGAGGATGTCAATGTCTTTTGATATTCTGGACACAAGCAGAAATGTTTCAGAGGCATTTCCCATCTAGAACAAAAATGGAAAAATAGAGAAAGTGTGTGTTTTTTGTTCAGGCAATTTTTAAAATGTTAAAAACAAGTTCCTTACAAATTTACATCCACCAAAACACAAAGTGACTTGTGGATCAGACCACAGTTACTTTTAAAATGTGATATATAGCTCTTACTACCACTTAAAATGCTCAAGAACCTGTATCACAACACAGCACTCCCTCCGCCTCTTTCACCAATTTTGTGTTAAGTGTTGACATAACAAACCGTGAAGGACATTTACATGTCTCCGCCTCCTTCTGTTTCATAATAAAAAAAAATAGAGAAGAGAAAAGGGTGCTTCCATGTACAAATTCTATACCATCCCTCATGTCAAAATCTCATTTGCAAACAAGGTGGTTATTTGCATACACAGCATACCCTGCTGCCAATACACTAATCACTGTGGCAAAGACAAACTGCTGAGGCAATCTTTTTAAAGGAATTTATTGGAGATAAAATGAAAATGTATTCATATTTACTCAATGTCTTCACCTTTACTTAGAGATTAAAGTGAGCCAACAAAGGGAAGAGACAAGTTAAATCACCTGGGGTTAAGAGTGGAGCTTCTTGTGAATAAATCCATATTACCATAAACAGGAGATTATCTTCAAAGAGAAAATTATTTTAAAATCATTCTGTGTGGACTTCCTGTTAGAATTTGATGTGGCCTCGGTTCATGTAGGACAGCTTGTAATCAGGTATCCTCCACAAGTTTTTGTGAAAAATGCAAGTACTTGTGTTTATGAGTTGGGGGTTGTATGCATCTATTAGATTCTAAGTCATCTTCAAACAGTTACTTTGTTTAATCATTTATCATGACTCCTAATTTCTACTGAAATGATATCAAACAGCATTACACAGTTTAATTAATTTTCTCATAAATTATCCCCAAGTGTTGTTCACAGTTTGCTTAATCACAGCTTCTGCTTGCTGCATCAGTATACATGTGTGTGTGTTTTTGTTTTTTTTTGCTCAATGTGAGAATGTACATCAAGGATCTCAAACTGAAAACTGCCTGGAGGCCACTTCAATATAATATAATCTGGCCTGTAAGATTATTTTGTTGTAGTTGTTGTGATCAAGTTATTATTTTTTTAATGCTGGATGTTAGATATACAGAGAATCGGCATCCTTTACATAATAGGCTAATAAACATGAGTAATTTTCTTCCTCCTTTCGCACACCCTGAAACATCACTCATAAATATTGAGTATTGCATCAAAAATTGCATCACTGTTTTGAGCCATAGAAAGTTCCAGAGAGTGGTCTCTCCACTTTACAAGATTATTATTTTTTTATTTTTTTCATATCAATTAAAACCAATTAAAACAACACAAAACACAAGGTCAAAACATCAACAACATAAGCAAAGATGATATAAAATGATAATTTTAAATTTAAATTTTAAATTTAAATTTTTTATGCTCTTAGTGGAAATATTTTCCCTATTTTCTTTTTTCCATGATATGACGATACCAGCAGTGGCTCGAAGCCAATTTGAGTTTGAAACCTAACCTAAATCTAGATTACTGCAGCACTATACCAGAGTGTCTTGTCTTGATGTCATAATACGTATCACCTTTTCCCTTTCCGAATGTTGCCAGGATTCGGCTTGCACCAAAACACGATGGTGTGACAAGAAAGTTGTTTTGTACACTACAAGTGTTGCTGGAGTTTTGAACTCTTTCAAACTTCTTCTCCTCTCCATGCACCTTGGAAGTATTCCATGCACCTTAGAAATATCCCAAGGTGCATAGGTAAAGTTGTGTATGAAATCCCTACTCTGCTTCCCTTTTCGATTGTGTTCCCACATATTTTCAGCAGGACTGAGGTCGTGTGACTGTGGAGAGAACGGATGGGACATGGAGATTTTTTATTAAGCCCTGAGGGGAACCTAAGATGTTGCACTAGACAATGAGTACACAGATAAGTTCCACACATGGATGAAGAATGTGTTATATAAATAGAACACACTACACACACAAATACAAGTAGTTCTAAAAGTGTTATTATTATGAAGAATACAGACATCATATGATATAAGAATAACATTAATATACCAGAGTAGCAGTATTAATATGCATGTACCAAGAGATTTCATACATAAAACAGATTTCAAATTAAAATGTACAAAAGAAATTAAGGCAGTATGTGTTTACATCTCCAGGACTTTCCTCTCTCTAGTCCTACATTTGCTATATACGTTCATTTAGATAAGGAAAAGGACACATTAATAAAGTCCTCTGATTATCGTGAAGTTTCTGGGAGTTAATTGTTGTTAACATCATTTACTTAAGTAAATGTGTCGATAACACAATTTGAAAATACTACAAGTAATAATCGTGTTTTCAAAATATAGTATTGTCAGCAAAAGTATGTAGTAGTTATAATAATAAAATGATCCCTGTCATTGTTATATTGTACAAGGTCATAGTTCCCTTTCTGCTACTAAGTATATATACAAAAATTATACACATTAAGAAAAAACACACATTACACCAATATCACTGATGATCGGCCCTTGCCAGTTAGTAATATTTTCTCCTCATTGCTGTTCAAAATCCAGCTGATCATGGTGGTGTCTTCTGCAAACCTCACAACAGTTTTGTCTCCATGTCAAGGGTTGCAATCACTGGTGTACGGTGTGAACAGGAGGTGTTGAGCACTAGAGAGGAGGAGGTGTGACTGATGATCTGAACTTTCTGGTGTCTGTTTGTGAGCCTAGTACCCAGTTGGAGAGTGTGGCCCAGAGTGCACTCAGTTTCACAGGGAAGACTGTGTTGAATGCTGAGCTAAACAAACAACAAACAGCATTCTGACGTAGGTGTTGTTTCTCTCAAGGTGTGTGACACTCAGTGGAGGGCAGTGGAGGTGGCATCTTCTGTGGATCTGCTGGTTCTGAATGAAAACTTCCAGGCCGGCAGGGATGTTATTCTTTATGTGCTGGAGAACCAGTTTCTCAAAGTACTTCATCAGAATGGGAGTGAGTGCCACAGGGTGGTAGTTGTTCAAACTAGATACTGCAGAATTTTTAGGGACAGGGACGATGATGGCTGTCTTGAAGCAGGTGGGAACGCTCTCCTGTGACAGTGAAATGTCAGTAATGGCATCAACTAGCTGAGTGGTACGTGGCCAGGGATGTTATCAGGCCCAGCAGCTTTAGTCATATTTACTCTCAGCAGGATTCTTCTCAGTCCGCTGTGGATAGTGACAGTGGCTGATCCTCTGGAGGTAGAATAGACTTTACAGCTGACTCTTTGTTGAGGAGATCGAAGCAAGCATAAAATGCATTTAGCTTAACTGATTGCGTGTCCTTACTCCTGATTTTGTAGCCTGTGTGAAGTGTAGTAGTGTAAAAGCACTTTGAGTGGTCGGAAGACTAGCAAGGCACTATACAAGTACAGTCCATTTACCATTCAACTCCATGACATAAATGACAATAACATGGTTAAAAACAGCTCCTCTCTAGCCATGCTACTGTTTGTCTTTGAATGAGTGTGTATGCCTCTTTGCCCTATATAATATATAATATATATAATATAATCCTGTTAAGCAGAGTCAATGTCCTCAATGTAACATCAAAGCAAAAATATGCTAGTCTTGTGTAGGGTGCAAGTTCATCCAACTTGGTGACCTGCAGTCTCACATTCCCTATGATAAACTGTGCGATGCTTAAGTCCTCACACAAGTTTGTTGCTCCTTCAGTATCTCAGTTGCTCCACAGGGAAATATGAAAATAAAATATTATTTTGACTTATTATTTTCCCCCCTGTGTTAGACTTCACTTCAGGATTCCTTCAGGATTTTTATATGCCTTAATTACTTCACCTCACGGTTTGACTATCGTAAAGTTTAACAGATTGATAAAACCACCCACCTACAACAGTGATCTGCCCTGCAGTCTTTGGACACAAATATGTAGAAATATATCTCCATACAAATATTGTTGTAAGGTGCCTGTATTCCTCCTATAAGTAACATATGTTTCCATACATTTATGATTACTGATGGGGATTTTATCCCATACTGAGACTCCATCTGACCTGAGCATCATGTTATTACATCTGTTTTCAATTTGTGATGCAGTTCATATTGCTTAAAACATGAGCTTAGTCCATCGTACTGCTGGGCTTATGAAACCATTTTAAATCAATTGCAGTGACTTAAAATTGCATGATGGCATCATTTGAAAACAAGACAATTTTTCCTTAAAGGAGTACTCTTTTAACATTGTGTTCGTATAACATTGTCAGAAGCAATAAAAAAATAAAAATAAATGCAGTAGAAACAGAGATAGTGTCTGTTTTCATTCAGTGCATTCTTCTTGCTCATCAAAACCTGGCGGCTATATTACCCACAACACAACTCTGCCACCAACACTTTATTAAGAGATTCAGTTGTGTTATGCTAGTGGCAGCGAATGTAGCCTTGAGCCGATAGCATCGAGCAGAGATGAGAAGCGGGCTACACAGGCCTGATAACCTCACTTCAAAGCCACTTCCCTTTTTAGGTTCAAACATCTGACACCATAAGTGACATCACTTGAGGCAATTTATCAGACTTTGCCTCTGGACCCACAAAAACCTTTACACAAGTAATCAGACTTTGATTATCAGTGAAGTTCCCTTTTAATTCCAAAAAAATATATAATTATATTTGGGATACGCAGGGATTTGAACTGACAAGAAGTATATCTGTCATAAAGACTTTCAGCACATTCAGATTATACTGTGTCTGCCTGCCTGTCTAATTATTTACATCATTGCCCACTTCCCCTCTACTGTATGTTATCCTCTCAGCAGTGTCAAGGGTACAGGGGGCAAGGCTGGATTAACAGTCTGTCTGAAAGGATGAAGTCAAGACTGAAAATGAGAGCGAGGCAGAGGAGCAGGGTAAAAGGGAGAAACCTTTGCTCACCCCCATCAGACTGAGAAGGGGGAAAAAAGTGCTCCACAGAGTGAGAGAAAGTTATAA